GAGCCAGGTACTGTAATAATAACTTGATGTTGCTTTAATATCTCAGCAAGGTCCATGTTTTCACCCCTAATTCACTGAGTGACTTGGGAGGATAGCTGGTCTACCTTAGTTACACAGCAGCAAATGGTAAAGCCAGGACTGAAAGCCAAATTTTTGCTCTTAACTACTATTCTCTCCAGAACTTTGCTTTAAAAAAAGAGCAGCTGGTGACATGGGAGCAGCAAGGGCAGTCGCCTAAACGACTGAGACAAAAGAAGATGCTGGGAAGGGGAGATGAGAGAGAGGAAGGTCACAGGAGAGAAAGCGGCTGGGATTACAGAGGAGAGGTTTTCTTGTAATTATAGTCCACTGTACATGTGCACACCCATGTACACACGTGCACACACCTTCATGCGTGTGCACACACACACGCACGTGCGCGCGCGCACACACACACACATACACACGGTTTCTCAACGGCAAAACTGGATACTCCCCAGCCCTGCCCCTCATGCCCTGGATCTGATGCCCTTCTATTCAGGCCTTTCCACATGGAGCTTTCGTAGGTGTCTGGCCTCTGCGATCCTTGACCTTCTTTCATCTTCCAAGTACAGGTGCCCCCCCATGGCACAGCCTTGCTTCCCTGGATGGACACAATCATTCCCACAAATGTCGCCGTCGCATTCAAACGGAATCCCTCCAGGCTGTTTCTACATCTGCCAGTTCCTCACTGACCTCTAACCCCCTTTTTGACATTGTGAACTGAGGCATCCCAAATTTCAGCTGGCAGCCATCCTCCCAGACTCAAAGCAGCTCCTTCACCTTAATTCTGGCTGACTTCTCCTCAGTCATGGTGACGCCAAGTACTGAGGTTCTTTCTAATCATGTTCTACTCCTCATTCACTCTAGTTCAACACCAAAGTTAAATAATTCAACACCCATACAGTGCTGTGATCCCACCCATACAATGTTGCTTCGTTGCAGGCACGCACCGTCTGAATCCTCACCACTGCCATCCTGGGCAGAAACCCTCACCAGGACCCCTCTTGGAACTTGCTACCTGCCTCTCTGCAGGCAGCTTCAACCCCTCACTCACCCTCACATGAAGTCATCTTTCTGAGACTCAGGCCTTAAGAGCAAAGATACCTTTAGGTGTTTCAATTACCAAAAATAAAAGAACCCATCGCTCAAGGAGTTATCTGCTGATTGTATCGTGTTCACACTGAATTCCTGTAGTTTCCTCTGAGACCCGTCATGTCCCTCTGCCTTGGCAGCCACCACATGGTATTTTAACAGCAGCACTTAGGCCATGGCTGCTGGCAGGCTAGTCTGTGAACCCGCGAGCTGTGATACACCCTTAGATATATATCGTTCCCTGGAGGATATATAATCCTTATGATTCATATATCTATATTATCTATCTCTTATTCCTGACATTTGCTGCTGAGATCTCTGCTGAAGCTTGACGGAACGCATTGTTACCTATTCCACCACACAAGATCTAAAATCAAATTCACAGCAGTGTGTGGAATTCCTAGAAAGCAGCTTATGAGATGGGCAAACAGAATTTTATGGATCATAGATTTTATTGCTTATTAGTCCAAAGGGTGTCTTTCTTCAATCTAGAATGCAGCCTTCCACCCCACAACCGGGGTAGCCTGGTCCAGGCCCTGTTCAGCTGCAGAGGCCATCATTGGGATTACACTCAAGAGAGTCTTGGGGACGAGGCGTAATGAAATGTTTTTCTGAACTGATAGTAACAGGGACTCTTTCGTCACAAAAAGAGCAAGAGCCCCTTTCTCCTTATTTGTTTGCATTTGCCATCCTGGTTCAATGGCATGCTTTTTCTTAGACAGGAGTCTGACAAGTACAATCGAGACATTAGCTGGCACAGGGGCTTGAGAGCACACAAGCCCAGCCTCAACTCCACCTCTTCATCTTTATTCTCAGTCTCACTCAGCAGCCTCTGCAACATAGTTAGTGTCCCTGTGCGTGCACAGTCCTTTCTCATCCTGTGCCAGGGTCTGGGGAAGTGCACATCCTCCTGCTGGGAATAGCAGGAATGTCTTGGGAATCTTACCTCCTTCCCTTCCCTTCATGTCCCGCCTCTGGTTTCAGGACAGCCGTTTCTTTCCTTTAACTGTCCTCACTAATTTAACACTATTCATCGTCTTCTGTAGCTCCCACAGTACAAGGGGGTTTGAGGACCATGAATATCCCTATTGCCACAGCGGACCTGAGGTCTAATTTTTCATAACACTGTAATTTGAAAGATTAAATACATTCCTAGCATTGAGAGGAGAAGGGAAGTAAGTCAGCACTGAATGGGCACCCACCAGCTCTGTGTGTGCACCAGGCACCGCATATGTGCCCTCCCATATCCCGTGTCAATAACTCTGGAAAACTCAGAGGTTCAGAAAGATTAAGAAGTTCACCTCGTTCAGGGACTGGGGTACGAGTCCACGGGGTAAGCTATTTAAACACCCAGTGCTGGTTCACACAGAGGGGAAGTTACTTTCTTGTAAGCCTCTGGATGTCATAATCTGTCCCTCTTAAAAGTAACAATCAGTTTCCCTTTAAAAAATGTATTTTATATTTACTTAAAATAAATAGAGATGGGGTCTTGCTATTGCTCAGACTAGTCTCCAACTCCTAGACTCAAGTGATCCTCCCACCTTGACCTCCCAAAGTGCTGGGATTACAGGTGTGAGCCACCTCGCCCAGCCCAGTTTCCCTTTTGCATGCACGACTTTGTTAAACACCCTGTAAACCTGAAAAATATTAAAGACCTCGTCTAATGAAAAAATTTTAAATGTGCTGTTATCACTTGGTAATCATTTCCAATATGTTAATTTTTTACTTTTTAGGGAGATTGTAATTTCTTTTTTTTTCTTTTCTTTTTTTTTAATATTATACTTTAAGTTCTGGGATACATGTGCAGAACGTGCAGGTTTGTTACACAGGTATACACGTGCCGTGGTTGTTTGCTGCATCATCAACTCATCATCTACATGAGGTATTTCTCCTAATGCTCTCCCTCCCCTAGACCCCACCCCCCGACAGATCCCCGTGTGTGATGTTCCCCTCCCTGTGTCCCTGTGTTCTCATTGATCAGCTCCCACTTATG